AGAGGTTGAGAGGTCTAAGATCAAGATCTGGCAGGGTTCACCTTCTGATGAGGGTTTTGTCTGTGGCTTGAAGATGGCTACCTTTTTGTGTCCTCATGCAGCCTTTCCTCAGTGCTTGCACGTAGATGGTGAGACAGGTTTTCTTCTCTTCCTCTTTCTGTGACTACCAATTCCTTTACATCAGGACTTCACCCTTACGTCCTCATTTAACGTTAACTGTTTCCTAAAAGACCTATTTCTAAAATCAGTCACAGTGGGGTTAGGGCTTCAACATAGGAACTTTGAGCAACACAGTTCATTCCATAACCACAAACGGTACTATACTCAGCTATTCAAATTCAATTAGGGCAGACATTTCTAGAACAGCCACAACACTGACATGTTCATTGTAGTATTACCATCCAGTCAATAACCAAAGCAGGAAAGGTGGAATTTATCCTAAACTCATCTTCCTTACCTCCATATTACCATGCCACAGTACTTAACATCTCTTAACTAATCTTAATCTATCTTCCATTTTCCCATTCTTCTCTAGTTTTGAAAATGCCTCTTACCTGGCCTGCTTATCCCTAGCTTCTCTTGCTTTTTGTATGTCCTCCATACCAATACCAGAGTGATCTTTCTAAAGATGACTGCCAAAATAAACTTCTAATTAAATCTAACTCTTTAATGTCTGGGTGCAGTGGTGGCTTACCCTGTAATCCCAGCACTTTGGGAGGCTGAGGTGGGTAGATCACTTGAGGTCAGGAGTTCAAGGCCAGTCTGACCAATGTGGCAAAATCATGTCTCTACTAAAATTACAAAAAAAAAAAAAAAAAAAAAAAAATAGCTGTGTGCCTGTAATCTGAGCTACTCGGGAGGCTAAAGCATGAGAATCTTGAACCTGGGAGACAGAGGTTGCAGTGAGCTGAGATTGCACCACTGCACTCCAGCCTGGGTGACAGAGCAAGATTCTGTCTCAAACAAAACAAAACAAAAAACAAATTTAAACTCTTTAAGAATTGTATGCAGGGCCCTCAGTAATTTGGCCATTACTCACATCTCTAACCTTATCTCTGTGTTTCCTTTTTTCCTCAGCCCCAATCCAGGTACTACTTAAGAAACTACTTGCAGTGCTCAGAAGGTACCATGCACTCTTGCATATATGTAGGGAGCGCTTTCATCAGACCTTCTCCCCTACCTATTCTTTAAAACTCTGCGCAGGGGTCTGTGACTCCAGGAAGCTTTCCCTGACTTCTCAGTTAAGCTTGGATGTCCCTCCTTTGGGTTCTTGTATTTTAATTGTTTACTTCTTTTCCTTTCCTTCAGTTGAACGTGAGTTCCCAGATTGTAGCATCATTTCTCCAATTCTGCTACTAGTCAACATGCCAGTCATGTAAGTGCCCCATGTATGCTTGCAGAATCAGTAAATAACAGAATTTGAGTCCTTTTTTAATCCCTTGACCTTCTCTGCATTTTCTTTTATTTTCTCTTCTGTTTTTTTGTTTTTGTTTTTGTTGTTGTTGAGAAGGAGTCTTGCTCTCTTGCCCAAGCTAAAGTACTGTAGCTTGATCTTGGCTCAGTGCAACCTCTGCCTCCTGGGTTCAAGCGATTCTCCTGCCTCAGTCTCCTGAGTAGCTGGGACTACTGCATTTTCATTTCAGGTAGTTTATCTGGCAGTTTATAAAGGAAGAACAAGAATATTAATCAGGTGCAGTGGCCCATGCCTATAATCTCAGCATTTTGGGAGGCTGAGGCAGGCAGATCACGAGGTCAGAAGTTTGAGACAAGCCTGGCCAATATGGTGAAACCCCATCTCTACTAAAAATTCAAAAATTAGCTGGGCATGGTGGTGTGCAGCCATAGTCCCAGCTACTCGGGAGGCTAAGGCAGAAGAATCACTTAAACCTGGGAGGTGGAGTTTGCAGTGAGCCGAGATCGAGCCACTGTACTCTAGCCTGGGCGGGCGACAGAGCGAGACTCTGTCTCAAAAAAAAAAAAAAAAAATCAGTATTTGAAGTATGTTGTGAAGTTAAGCTTCTTTAATACTTGATTTTCTTTCATTTTGGTGGAGAAAATAGAATTGATACATCTTATTTTCTTGAATAAATTTAGGAAGATTTATAAATGTCAACTTGAAAATAAAAATTATGTTCATGAATGCTTTCTTGATCAAAGCCTGTAAAAATGAGGGAGAAGTTTAGAAGAACAGATGCTAAGAAAAGGCTGAGTGATTTCTGTTGGATGACTGTATGATGTTGGTGGGTACTGTGACATTTCTGTGCTTTTAGAGCTGTAGTTCAATAGTGTTACCCAAAAGTAGGAATTATGACTGAAAGTGTAAGAATTGCTGTTATGGACAATTGACTTTATGGCAAACTAGTTGCAACTGTGCCTTTGTCTGCTACTTCAGGTACTGCTGAAGCAACTATGAATGATACAAATGGTAAATTTAAATGCAATAACAGATGCTGAGCAACTTTGACAAGCTGCAAGCCATTGAAACAAGCCCTTTTAATGTTGTATTCCTTTTTCAGTCAGAATTAAGATAACTAGAAAATTGTATGCATTTGGGGCAGTTTCTCTTCATAGAGTTATTTTTAGTATAAAACATATTTTCACTTGTTAGTTGCCATATAATCTGCATTGAGCAGAATGATTTGTGTTATGTTTCAAATGCTGATTCTCTACTTCATGAAAGCTCTGCCTACATGTTACCATTGCAACTTGTTGAAAAGTAAAATGATTACTCAGTCAGTCCCTATTTCTAAATAATACCAAATATTCTATTTTATTTTTATCCCCTGCTGACACTAGTGTTATCAACAAGTTGTTGGAGAATCTTATGATCACAGGTAAAATCTTTGAGATTTATTAAGGATTAGGGAGCTCTCTGATTATATTTAAGTTTTACAGGAAGCATGAAAGCTAAAATGATTTTATATGTTTATTTTTTTCCTAAGCTAGCATGTACATAGTAGGATTGTTAGATAAAATAACAGATGCCCAGTTAAGTTTGAATTTCAGATAAATAACATTGGATTTTATTATAAATATGTCCCAAGTATGGCATGGGACATAGACTAAAAAATTATTCATTTACCTGAAATTCAAATAGCTAGCATCTGTATTTTTATTTGATAACCTGGCAACCCTATATTAAGATACAAAATTTAAAAAACACAAAAGTAATGCAGTACAAAGTAAGATTATCTCAGTGTCCTCCAACCATGCCATATCCCAATATTAGTATCTTTGAAAAAGTTGCATAATAGTCTATGCTTTTATAAACATAAACCTATCAGTTTTTACTTACCTAAGCAATTGCCCTCCTCTTTTTCTGTACAAAGTGGAGCACCTTAATGTGTTCTTCTGTATATTCTTTTTAGTAAATTTGACAATATTTTCATCATGTGATTTTGCAAGACAGTTTGGAAAATATGCCAGTAGTATGATAGAGTTTCGGCTTTAAAATCAGGTGCACTAGGGTTCAATTCCAAGTTCCCCCACTTACTAGCTGTGTGACCTTGAATAAGAATGCGAAGTCTCCTTTTCTCTGTTGCGTTATCTGGAATAATGTGCCAGGCATGGGAGGATATTATGGGGGGCACCAAGTATCCTTCACAGGATATTGTCAGAGTCCCCACATGCATGATGGATTGTGTATAAACTGCACTTGCCTAACTCTGTGGTGCCTCACAGATACTGAATTCATTAAGCTATTATTGGTATGTCTTGTGGTTCTGAGAGATAAGGCTATTGGAACAGATTTTAGGTTCAATCATAACCAAATAGTGATACAGCCACAAGCAGCATACATGAACAGCAGCTAGAGGGGAACTGGTATTTTTTTCTGTACCAGATTTGAATACAGTTGTCCCAACCATTGGAACATGGAGGGCCTGAAACCAGACATAGTACCTTACCCTGTATATACAGGCCTATTTTATTTTATTGTATTTTGCTTTATTGTGTTTTGCCGATACTGCATTTTTGTAAACAAATAGATGGTTGTGGCAACTCTGTGTCAGGCAAGTCTATTGGTGCCATTTTTTTTTTTTCCCAACGGTATGTGCTTACTTTGTGTCTGTGTGTCACGTTTTGTTAATTCTTACAGTATTTCTTGCTCTTTATTATTCTTAGCCTGTTACAGTGATCTGTGATAAGTGATCTTTGATGTTACCATTGTAATTATTTTGGGGTGCTACAGCCCTGCCCATTTAAGGTGGTGAACTTAATCAATGTTGTATGTGTTCTGACTCCTACAACTGGCTGTTTGCATTATCTTTGGAGCTTCTGAGGCCTAGAAGCTCAAAAGCTAGAAATAATTTAGTGAGGAAGTCATGTTGAAAGTAGAGATAGACCGAAAGCTAGGTCTGTTGTGCCCAACAGACAAGTTGTGAATGTGAAGGAAAAGATCTTGAAGGAAATTAAAAGAGCGTCTCCAGTGACTGCATGTAAAGCAAAACAGCCTTATTGTTGGTATGGTGAAAGTTTTAATGATCTGGATGGAAGATCCAACCAGCCACAACATTCCCTTTAGCTAAAGCCTAATACAGAATAAAGTTTTAACTCTGCTCAATTCTGTGAAGGATGAGAGAGGTGAGGGAGCTACAGAAAAAAAGTTGGAAGCTAGCAGAGGTTGGTTCATGAGGTTTAATGGAAGAAGCCATCTGCATAACATAAATGTGCGAGGTGAAGCAGCAAGTGCTAATGTAGAGGTTTCGGAGAGCTATCCAGAAGATCTAGCTGAGATTATTAATGGAGGTGGCTTCACTAATCAACAGATTTTTAATGTAGGTGAAACAGCTTTATATTGAAAGAAGAGGCCATCAAGGATTTATTCATTTATTTATTTATTTTGGCTGAGCACAGGGGACTTTATTGATGGTACACGACAAGGTGGGGCTCCCTAGGCCCCTCCCTCTTCAAGGGTCTGCATGGAAACTGTGAGGAGGGGCAATTCACTGTGATGGGGGACTCTGTGTCAGGGACTCCCCAGCAGTGAGGGCCTCTCTTCCTCTCGTGCTCTCGCTGGGGCTGGTGGTCCAGGGGTCTTACTCCTTGGAGGCCATGTGGGACATGAGGTCCACCACCCTGTTGCTGTAGCCAAATTCATTGTCATACCAGGACATGAGCTTGACGAAGTGGTTGTTGAGGGCAATGCCAGCCCCAGCATCGAAGGTGGAAGAATGGGTGTCGCTGTTGAAGTCAGAGGACGCCACCTGGTGCTCAGTGTATCCCAGGATGCCCTTGAGGGGGCCCTCCGTTGCCTGCTTCACCACCTTCTTGATGTCATCATATTTGGCAGGTTTTTCCAGACAGCAGGTCAGGTCCACCACTGACACATTGGCAGTGGGGACACGGAAGGCCATGCCAGTGAGCTTCCCGTTCAGCTCAGGGATGACCTTGCCCATGGCCTTGGCAGCGCTAGTAGAGGCAGGGATGATGTTCTGGAGAGCTCCAGTGCCATCACGCCACAGTTTCCCGGAGGGTCCATCCACGGTCTTCTGGGTGGCAGTGATGGCGTGGACAGTGGTCATGAGTCCTTCCACGATACCAAAATTGTCATGGATGACCTTGGCCAGGGGCGCTAAGCAGTTGGTGGTGCAGGAGGCATTGCTGACGATCTTGAGCTATTTAAATCCATCAAGGATTTAAATAGTTCTGAGAAGTCAGTCCGTGGCTTCAAAGCTTTAAAGAGGCTAGCTTTCTCATTAGGAGCTAATGCAGCTGGTGATGTCAACTGGAAGCCAGTGCTTACTTACCATTTCAAAAATTTTAGGGCCCCTAAGAGTTATGCTAAATCTGCTGTGCCTGTATTCTTTGTACATGGAAAAAGAAACCCTTGATAACAGCACATCTATTTATAGCATGGTTTACTGAATGTTTTAAGCCCACTGCTGAGACCTACTGCTCTGAAAAAAGTTCTTTTAAAATATATTACTGCTCATTGACAAGACACCTGGTTATCCAAGAGCTCTGATAGATTTTATAAGGAGATGAATGTTTTTTCCATGTTGGTAACACAACATCCATTCTGTAGCCCCTGGACCACAGAGTAATTTTGACTTTCGAGTCTTATTATTGAAAAAATATGCTTTGTAAAGCTATAGCTGCAGTACTTAATGATTCCTCTGCTATATTAGGGCAAAGTAAATGGAAACCTTCTGGAAAGGGTTTACCACTTTAGATGCCATTAAGGTATTTGTGATTCATGGGAGGAATTCAGAATATCAACATTAGCAGGAGTTTGGAAGAAGTTGATTCTAACTCTTATGGATAGCTCAGAGGGTTCAAGACTTCAGTGGAAAAAGTCACTGAAGATGTGGTACAAATCGCAAGAGAACTAAAATTTCAAATGGAGTCTGAAGATGTGACTGAATTACTGTACTCTCATGGTAGAGTTTGAATGAATGAGGAGTTGCTTTTTGTGGATGACCAAAGAAAGTGGTTTCTTGAGATGAAGTGTGTGCCTGGTGAAGATGTGAACATTGTTGAAATGAAAACAAAGGATTGAGACTATTACATAACTTTAGTTGATAAAGTACGAGCAGGGTTTGAGAGGTTCTATTGTGGGTAAAATGCTATCAAACAGTAATCACATGCTATAGAGAAATCTTTTCTGAAAGGGAAGAATCAATCAATGTGGCAAAGTTCATTGCTGTCTTATTTTCAGAAACTTTTACAGCCACCCAAGCCTTCAGCAAACCACCACCCATGAGTCAGCAGCCATCAGCACAAAGGCAAGACCCTCTACCAGCACAGACTATGACTCACTGAAGGCTCAGATGATCACTAGCATTTTTTGACAGTAAACTTTAAAAAAATGAAGATGTGTACATTGTTTTCTTAGACATGATGCTGTTGCACATTTAATAGTCTACAGTGTAGCATAAATGTAACTTTTGTACACACTGGGAAACCAAAAAATTCATGTGACCCCTTTTATTGAGAGATTCACTTTATTGCAATATCTCTGAGGTATGCTTGTACCATTTTTTTTTGTAAATACATACCTATGATAAAGTTTAATTTACAAATTAGTCTCGATAAGAGATTAACAACAACTGATAATAAAATAGAACAATTACAACAATATACTGTGTATTCTTAATTCTCTTTGTTTAGGGATTTATTACCTTGAAATGTAAAAGCAATGTTTTTGAATGTACTTTGAATATCAATTTAAAGAGCCTTACTTCTTGAGGGTTTTTCTTAAAATCTTGGATTTTAAAAGTGATTTGTTTAAAGATGTATGAACATGAACATTACATAAATGGTGAATATTCCTGATCTTTCTTTGATAGACCCACCAGTGTTATGTAAAATATATGATTCTGACTTCTTCATACCTTGTCTGGACAGTTGGCTAATTTGAGTGTATACAGCAGTCTATTCCATTTCAGACTTCATTCATTTTGGGTCTCTGTTCCTTTGGTTTCACTTTATGTAGGCCATGGTCTGTTTGAACTTGGAAACAGGGAAGTTGAATCTTCCTGTATTCTAGAGGCAGCATATTGAAGAAATTAAATTGTGGACTCTGGAGCTAGATGGCTTGTGTTAGGATCCCCGCTCCATCATTTACTAGTGGTGTGGCCTTAGACAAGTTACTTAACCTGTTTGTACTTCATTTTCCTCATTTATAAAGTGAGAGGATTGTTTAAGTATTAAAAGACTTAATTGGAAGCATAAATCAAATAGTACCTAGCATGTGGTAAGTGCTGTGTTTGCTGTTGTCTTTGCTGCTTCTGCTTCAGCATTAGTGCTTATCTCCTTCTTATCATATCCATATCTTATCTCTGTTTTTGCCTCTCTGATTCATCATTGTCACTGCTTAGCATGAATTGCCCAGAAAAAAAAAAAAAAAAAAGAACTTGACATTCTTCTGACATGTTAGATCTTTTTTAAGTCATGCCAATTGGCCATGACCCACTGTTATGATTCAGGTACCCTTATGTTTCCATACAGTATTGAGATGGGCAAAAAGGGAAGGGAAATGGTAGGGTGATGAAAAGGTGACAAGAGGAATTCATGGCTGCAAGTTGAAGGGAGTGAACTCAATCTATCTAAAAAATTCTGTGATTACAAATGAGTTTATTTATAGTTAGAACTGAATCCTCAGGATGGGAGTATCAGGGACAGAAAGTAATAATTAAAAAAAGATTCTTATCTTTTTGTCAGCGTTGCTAATGGTGAAATCCCCTGAAAAATCTCAAAAAAAGCTATACGTTTACTTTAGGGACATCCAAGCGTAGAAAATAAACTCTGAAAGTGTAATTAAAAAAAACACAAACATTGAAATACGAAAGAGTAGAGCTCTCTTGTCTGGGAGCTATTTTTTTTTTTTTTAATCTTTGTGTTTTGGGGGACGAAAAAGTAATTCTGTTTTAACATAACTGACTTGTAGGTGAACTTTCCAACAACAGTGTTTTTCTCAATTAGGAACTGCCTACGCTGTCCTTTCTCTGCAGACTTCTCATAAATCAGTGAGCTTCTAAATTTGAGATCTACCTCCCATGTATTTCATGAACACTGTCTATCTTTTGAATTTTTTCTGTGCATACCAAACACATGGATAATTTTATCCTTTCAAAACATTATAAACATCATTCATTTGTAAATAGAGATTCAGGTTCAGAAAAGTGACTTAATGAGGGCATATAGCTAGTTGAAATTTAAATTCAGGTCATCAGACTCTCTAGTCCATGCTTCTTCATTGCTATCAAGCTTCCTACTGGGTGATTAAATATGCCTTTGTAGCCCTGGGCTTGCTTATATTGGGGTGTCTTTATTCAGGTGATTTCCTGCCTCAACTTAGAGCAGCTGGGACTGTAGGCGCATGCATCATGCCCAGCTAATTTTTGTATTTTTGGTAGAGACAGGGTTTCACCATGTTGGCCAGGCTGGTCTTAAACTCCTGAGTTCAAGTGATCTGCTGGGATTACAGGTGTGAGCTACCATGCCCAGCCCTATTTTTGTGTTTTAATTGCAGAAGTTAATTATTTTTGAGAAGGGGAGTGGCTAATAGAAGGCTGTTTAATGGAAGAGTATTATATTCTCTTTGTAAATAAGAGTAAAAAATATCACCAATTCATTTGTTAATATTTCCCTGTATTAGGCCTTCATGAAATAATGTAATGCTTGGCCTTGGAATGCCCATCTATATGGACTATATGGACTCAGCATTAATCTTGAGTAAATATATCATAGTTACAACTTATGATGTGAGCTGGGAATTGGCATACTTTATCTCATTTTCCAAAATATATGCAATGAATGTGTTTTTAAGGAAACTAAGGTTGAGATGATGGTCCCTTGATCAAGGCCATACTTCTATTTAGATTTCAATTCCAGGTCAGAGCTAGTGTCCTCTTTTCTTGACACAAAGGCAGTTTTAAAAACAAGTGCCGGTAGTTAAGCTATTTGACATTTGAAGTGGAGTTAATGTTTCAAATAGTATATTCTAAATTGGGATAAGGCAAGTCAATATGTACTGTTCTGTTATTAGACAGAGCTAATTGCAGGCATTGATGTTCTGTAGCTCTGCTCATCTATATCACATATGTCCTCTTTTGCCAAATGAATTTTGTCTTAAAGAAGTAACAGGGCAACTTGTCCTTTCTAAGAGGAATCCCATTTTATCTTCCAGATGAACAATGAGAATGTGTGGTGGTAGATTTCTTTTCTCTATTGAAGGAATGACTTACTGACTGTCTTCCTGATGATTCAGCGTTTTCTATGAGGCAAAAGAGAAATGGAACTATGGGGATAGTTGTGCAGATTTGTTTGGCAGCAAAGGCTCAGAGTGGGTTAGTGATGTGGATGTCAGCAATGCAGATCTATATCCAGTACTTCAAAATATCTAGTTAAGTATTGTCAGAGAAACATGAGATACGTGGATTGGAGGAGTTGAGAAGATTTCTTTGAATGGGAAAGAAGAGAACATTATAGTCAGGAGAGTATTTTAAGAACTTTTGAAAAATTTAACACTGTGCTCTGTTTTGTTCAGTTTTTCATCCACGATTTAATATATTATCTTCCAGTGGTTCATGTACTGCTTGAGTGTCACATTCATTTCTTTTATTCATTTTCCATTTTTTTTCTTTTTGACATGGAGTCTTGTTCTGTGGCCCAGGCTGGAGTGCAGTGGCACGATCTTGGCTCACTGCAACCACTGCCTCCTGGGTTCAAGTGATTCCCCTGCCTCAGCCTCCTGAGGAGCTGGGATTACAGGTGTGCGCCATCACACCTGGCTGATTTTTGTATTTTTAGCAGAGACGGGGTTTCACCATGTTGGCCAGGCTGGTCTCAAATTCTTGACCACATCTTGGCTCCCAAAGTGCTGGGATTATGGTGTGAGCCACCGTGCTCAGCCCACAGTTCATTTCTACTAGGTATGTGTGTATTGTAGCCTCAGTTAGGGGTGTGAGCCTTTAAGGACGGGATCACATTTTCTACTTTTTATGTTTTTGCCCACAGAATTTCTTATGTGGAGATAAGTAAGCTCCTTATTCTACACTTGGTCATCTATAAGTGAATACAAGATTATAGTGGTCTGTATTGAGAACTTCTTTTTGAAACTTCCGCCATCTTATTCAAAACAGAATTTTTGTCTTTTACCTGATTAT